AAGCCATTTCAAAACCTTATGAATTTGTTAAAGATTTCTTGAAAGCAAAATAACTTTTTCACAAATGGCCCATGAAAATCAACTTTTATGCCTCCACCATATTACAATTATTTCGCTTGTTTTTTTCGAGGGGGACGAAAGTCCCAGATTTATTCAAATGTTGCCAAAACTAACTCTAAAATTCGATGAATCGATTCATAGTCGAACAAATCCATTTTATCGATTATATCGGATATAATCTAGCTTAAATCTCTTAACACGGATAGTATCTGTTTGTATCGTTCACATCTCTGTTATTGGATCACATCTTTATAATTATCATGACAAGTAACGGTGACACCCGTCTGTTTATAAGAAAGGAACATCGTGGAATCTCGACCAACAATACAAAAAGGTGAATTAGCTTTTGTAATCAAAATTTTAATGCTCTTTCCTCGTGAACCGAAGCTTGCCTGGCATCCGGTGAACATAAGCATCGATATGGTATCTATGGTTTGGTCATGTTTGGCCATCAATGCCGGTAGTAAATTTGGTCACCAACTCTCCATGCAGATATTTTCGTTGCTTCCAGAGTTGGTACTTGTACCAATCAGCATAATGCTCGATAATTCTAACACATTGAAGATTATCGATGAATAGTGGATGAAATCGGATAATATCGAAATGCGCGCGTTAATTCAAAACGAATCGATTGATTGGCCGATGTTTTGGATAAACAAATTTGAGAAAATTAGGCAAATTTAATTGAAATTCGTTAAAAGAAATGTAGAACTGATTACTTTCGTCCCCTCAGTTTTTTTTTTACAATCTTCGATTTTCAATCTATATTTCTTTGGATATAACTTTATTTAAATTAATTTAGCAATAAGAGAATATTTAGAATGCAAAAATCATGAGAAACAAAAATCTTGGCTAAGCTTAATGATCGATCTGAAGAATATATTTTTTTCTTAATGTAAAATAATTAGTAAAATCGATGTTTTCCGTGGGCGGACTCAAGTTCGGCGACTTCAATGCGGAGATCGGCTCCGACAACACGGATTATGAGCGTGTCATGGGGCGCCATGGTCTTGGCGAAATGAGCGAAAACGGTGAGCTGTTGGCAGAGTTTTGTGGCAATAACGACATGGTGATCGGGGGTTCGCTCTTCCCCCATCGACCAGTGCACAAAGTCACGTGGGTTTCCCGTGATGGACATACCGAAAATCAAATCGACCACATCTGCATCAGCCGAAAATGGAGAAGGAGCCTTCTTGACGTTCGGAACAAACGCAGTGCCGACATCGCGTCTGACCACCATCTCCTCGTTGGAGAGATCCGCCTTCGTATCGCGCGGGTCCAGCGGCGGGAGGAGCGGCTCGGACGGCGATTCAACACACGCCGATTGGAAGATCCAGCAGTAAAAAGGTCATTCGTCGAGGAACTGGAGACCAGAGCTGCGGATATTCCTGATGGTGGCAGCGTAGAAGAGCAATGGACGGCGATCAAGGATGCCTTTACTGAAACGAGTGAAAACAACCTGGGCGAGCTGCGCGCTCAGAGAAAGGAGTGGATCACGGATGACACCTGGAGGAAGATAGAGGAGCGGAGAAATGCAAAAGCCGCGATAGAGCGGGCGAGAACCAGAGGAGCGAAGAACCAGGCCCGCCAACTGTATTCGGCTCTCGAGAAGGAAGTGAAGCGCTCGTGTAGGCGGGATAAGCGAGCGTGGGTGGACTCCCTAGCCGATGAAGGTGAGAAAGCCGCAGCAACAGGCGATATCCGTCTCCTCTACGATATCTCACGACGCCTGAGTGGAGCAAGGATGAATCCTAGGATGCCAGTGAAGGACGCGACTGGTCAGTTGCTCACCGACCCCACTGATCAGCTGAAACGCTGGTTTGAACACTTCGAACAGCTTCTACAAGTTTCGTCGGTCAACCAGCCATCAACATCTCGGCATGAACCGCCAAGAGTGCGACGCATCACTCGCGTCAATTCTGAGGCGCCATCCCTACCGGAGATCGAAGCTGCTATCCGAACCATGAAATCCAACAAGGCTCCCGGGGTCGATCGCATATCAGCAGAGATGCTCAAAGCTGACCCCATGCTATCTGCACAAATGTTGCATCAACTATTCTGCAATATCTGGGACACCGCGACTTTTCCGGCTGACTGGATGCAGGGCGTCTTAGTGAAGGTCCCAAAGAAGGGGGACCCAACTGTATGCGATAACTGGCGTGGCATTATGTTACTGTGTTGTGTTCTCAAAGTTCTATGCAAAGTTATCCTCAACCGGATACAGGAGAAGATCGACGCGACTCTCCGACGGCAGCAGGCGGGATTCCGTGCTGGAAGATCCTGTGTGGACCATATTGTCTCGCTCCGCATAATCTTGGAGCAGGTCAACGAATTCCAAGAGTCCCTTTACTTGGTTTTCATTGACTACGAAAAAGCTTTCGACCGACTCAACCACGAAAACCTGTGGGGCGCCCTAAGGCGCAAGGGAGTTCCGGATAAAATCGTCAACCTCATCGAAGCTCAGTATGAGGCTTTCACGTGCAGGGTGCTGCACAACGGAGCCCTATCTGACCCTATACGGGTAGTCGCTGGAGTGAGGCAAGGATGTATTCTATCACCGCTACTGTTCCTCATCGTAATCGACGAGATAATGGTTGGTGCGATCGACCGTGTGCCGAACCGTGGGTTGCTCTTGCAGCCTATTACAATGGAGCATCTAAACGACCTAGATTTGGCGGATGACGTTGCTTTAGTATCACAACGGCGTTCTGACATGCAGAGTAAGCTCGACGATCTCGCCGAACGCTCCTCAGCGGCAGGTCTCAACATCAACGTCAGCAAGACTAAATCGTTGGATATCAACACGGGAAATCCATCCAATTTTACGGTAGCTGGTCAGGAAGTGGAGAAGGTTGAAAGTTTCCAATATCTTGGCAGCCAGATAGCGTCGGACGGCGGAACCAAGAGTGACATAGGTGCACGGATCAAGAAGGCAAGGGCTGCTTTTGCGAGTTTACGAAACATCTGGAAGTCAAATCAGATTAGTCTCCGCACGAAGATCCGAATTTTCAACTCTAACGTGAAATCTGTACTGCTGTACGCTAGCGAAACATGGTGCGTATCAGCGGAGATCACACAGAAGCTGCAGGTGTTCATCAACCGATGCCTGCGGTATATAATTCGTGCTTGGTGGCCTCACAACTGGATTTCGAATGCCGAGCTCCATCGACGGTGTCACCAGAAGCCGATATCGACAGAAATTCGGGAACGTAAGTGGAGGTGGGTTGGCCACACTCTACGGAAGAGCGGAAATGAAATCTGCAAACAAGCGCTGGATTGGAATCCAGCCGGACATCGCAGCAGAGGCAGACCCAGGGGCTCATGGCGGCGAAGCCTAAACAAGGAGATTAAGCAAGTCGACCGGAATTTGACCTGGGCCCAGGTCAAGGCGAAAGCAAACAATCGCCCAGGATGGAGATCTTTTACGTTGGCCCTTTGCGCCAGGGATGGCGCTCAGGACACTTAAGTAAGTAAGTAAGGACTCAAGTTTCTCGATGTTTTCACGTACATTTCACATCAAATTTTATATAGCTTGTGCATGTATCATATCTAAAGATTTTGGCATTCTGAGAAATAACTGTTCACTGCAAAGTTGTTCTGATGACCAAGGTCACTGCAAAGTTGTCCAAAAAATATATGAAAACTTTCCCGAAGACACCCATTCACGGATTTTTCATACGTTGTAGCAAGCTTGATTAACTATTTTATGGATAATCCGGATCATCTGGACAACTTGTTTGTGACCTCCAGTGTGCATAATTTGGCCTCAATGCCAAATTCAGTCAGATAACACATCTACAAGTGCTTGCGCAAAAAAAAACATGGGGCTCTAGGACCAGTTTAATTTATTTACCTCTTTTACGGATGTTCCGGATCTTCCGGAGGACCAGACTGTGATCATCAATATTCTGGCCACAATATGAAATTAATTCGAAAAACACATAAACAAGAGTGTTCGCAAAACAAAAATGGAGCTCTAGAAACAGTTTAATGAATTGACCACTTTTACGCATGTTCCGGATCTTTTAATGGACCAGCTTTAGTCCTCCAGGGTACATATTTGGACCAAAACCCCATATTTTTTCTTAAAACTCACCAATAAGTGCTTCCACTAATAACTACGCAGCTCTAACTCCAATTTCATGAATTTACCACTTTTACGGATGTTACGGTGTCCCCGCTGGAAGACTCATTGTACCAAAAGAAGGACAGTTAATAATTTCCCCGAAGATACCAGGAAGTTATCTATTCATATAACTTTAATATCAGAGTTTTCTTGACAGTATATAAATTTAGATTCATTCATTTAAAACCGACCATGACATTGATCCGTGTTCATTATAAATCAAAACTAACTAACTTATCCGCGTTCCATTTCTTCGATTATTTCTACCCTTATTCGCTCGTAAGGTAACGCAGGACGAAGGAATGTTTCTTATGTACCTAGCTGCGCTGTGCTACTGCCAGAGTTGGTGCGGCAGAAACATGACGTTTGCGATTCCTTATGTATCATCCACTGCTTTGTATGGATCTGTACGGCAATGTTGTGCGGTAGACACGAAGAGAAGATATGTGCAGTTCAAAGTTGTATACAATCATTGAACACGTTATACGGTGAACAGTTGAGATCGTTTTTTTTTTGTGCAACCATCGTTCTTCGTTTTGTTCATTCATTTGGTGCTACAAAACTGAATACTCTTATTCGGCAAAGGTGTCTGACACTTCACTCATTTTTGAATATCTATTCATGACCAGTTACGAACCTGACACACGGTAGTTCAATGGCATGTTGACAGATTTCCAAACACTGGGTCAATGTCCTGGGAAACCCGTTTTCTTGCATATTTTACTATTAAGCATTTCAGATTAAATTAAATGTAATTGACACCAACGTAAATTCTTTAACTTTATTTTCTATATTGTAAAACGAGATAGGTAGATGTTAAACAAATTAAACGTCAAGGTTTTCGACGCCGACGTTTAAAAATTATGCGTAGAGTTTAGGAAATGTTTTACGGAAATATGTACTGCTTGAATTCCTTACACAGATTCGGATATCCTGAAGCATCGTTTCAATAGACTCATCATTATTTGGATCAACCTCAACAATTTTTCCAATGGCAGATTTAAGGAGCTTCATTCCATCTTCGTCGTTCTCCATCTGTAGTTGAGCATAATGGTCTTCACATTCTTCGTATAGTTTTTGAGCCAGCTAGAACGAAACAATACCTACTTGGAAAATTTGTTGATTTTATTAAGTGAGAGTATATACTTGAACAACTTCGCTGGGGAGCTTGGCGAGTTTTGCAACCTGAATTCCGAAACTTTTCTCCATGACACCGGGTTTAACTTGATATAGCAATGTAAATTTGCCATTGTCTGCAATTGCATCCATATGGCAGCTTTTTACGGTTGTGAGAGTTTCGGCCATTTCAGTAATCTCGTGAAAATGTGTTGCAAATAGTGTAAAGCATTTAGTTTCCTTTAGAAGATATTCGGCAATGGACCAAGCAATGCCACATCCTTCGTACGTGGAGGTGCCCCGACCAAGTTCGTCGATAATTACTAATGACTTGTCGGTGGCGGTACGAATAATACCAGCGGTTTCAATCATCTCCACCATGAATGTACTCAGCCCTTTGCTTAGATTATCGTCGGCTCCAACTCGACCCAAAATCGAATCGACAATTGTTATCTCCGCCTCAGAACACGGAACATATGCTCCAACGTGGGCCATAAGCACAGCTACGCCCACAGATCGAATAAATGTACTTTTGCCTCCCATATTTGGACCAGTAATAATATACATAGTCGTTTCATCCTTTTGAAAGATGGCATCATTGGCAATAAAGTTAACATCTTCTTGCAGTTCCAAGCATGGATGACGCAACTGAACTAGCTTCAAACGACCTTCGCCTTCCTGGAATATTTTAGGACGGACATACGGCTCTGGCGCACTGACAGCCGCTACAGCAAAGCTCAAAAAGCAGTCAAGCTGGGCAATTAGATTATTCAACATTGTCCACGGCTCGACGTAACCTACTGCAATTCGAACGACTTCATCGACAATCGTTTTCTGTTGTTCTTCATAAGACTCTTTGGAACTAGTAAAGTCGGCACTGTAATCGGCAAGCTTTTCATTGGTGAACCTGACTCCTCCCTTGACGGCATCCAAAATCTGAAAGGGATATAATGACAGTCAGCGGTATGCTACGAATAGAGAATATATATCTTACTTGGAATTTTGTACTTTTTCGGATAATGGTCTCATCTTTGAGGGAAATCCTGAAATGGAATCCATGGTGCCCAACAAATTCCAATTTGATAGAGGTGCCTGCATTCAAACCCAATTCATCAGCAACTTTTGCAAGTAACCGTTTCATTTTACTCTCAATGTCATCCATCTGTACTTTGTACTCTTTTAGCTTGTCATCGAAGGTATGCTTCACTAAATATTCGCCCCGTTCTACGGCTTCCAAGTCAAGGATTTGTTCAACCATAGATTTGAACAACTTCAGATCTCCCAGGACATCTTTCATTGGCTCATTGATGATGTTTCTCACTGTCGGGTTTTCGAGCGTTTCTAAGAGACGTAGAACTTTTGGCATTCGTAGAACCACTTGGTACAAACGGAAGATATCCTGCAAAGAGGCTTTCTTACGGATCAGTTTATTGACGACAATGAGAATGTCCGGAAGCCGCTTCATGTGCAAATCATGTAGCTCAGATCTTGCAGAAGTACTATCGATCAGACATTCTACAATGTCGTGACGATCCTTGATGATATCGTAGCTGCGTAGTGGTTGTTTGAGCCACTGAGCCATCAGACGATGCCCCTGAGGAGTTTTGCAGCGATCGAGTACTCCTAGTATACTGTGCCATTTAAAAGCGGCTGAATTAATGTTGGCACCTGACTTTGGGAAGAGATTCAACGCAGAGACGGCAGCTGCATCCAGATGAACAAATCTATTAAAAAATTGACTCATTAGATTCGGTTTATTTATGTCTATTCATGGTTTATTTAATTAGCTTTGTGTAACTAGGTGTTGTTCATAAACTACGTATACTGTTGACTGTTGAACTCTCGCCAACTTACCACTAAATACCAGTAATGGAGTAAATATGAAGCAAATAGGTTCTTCAACTAATTCCACTTACCTGTTTAAGTTTAGCATCTTCAGTTCATAGTGGCCATGATTGGAGGATTCATTCGCTAGTTCCAAGTACCGAATGGCCACACCCAGTGCAGCTAGTGCAATTATCTTCGAGGTTTCAGGCATAGTATTGGCACTTTCTTTTTGACCTTTAGAAAATCTAAGAAGCTTGTTCAAATCCTGTATAATGTCATTCTTTTCGAGTGAGAAATCTTGCTTCTTCTTCAATGTGACAATAACGTTATTCCTCTCCAGAAGAGTTTTGATACGTTCATACTAAAAAAAAATCAAGTTAAAGCCTAAATATAAGCCATTTTAGAAAAAAATAAGATTACGTCGGCCTCCGCAGATGGAAGAATACACTCCTTTGGTCCGAGCAGCACCACTAGCGCTTCCAGTTCCGAGTAGAAGTCATTGTCGAGAAACTCAGAAACCGAAAAAACTCGATCGATGCTTTCAATGCACGCGATACCGATCACTTTCTGTTTCCCTTGCTGCTTTACATGAAGAGCCATCAACGCCGATCCTGCTACCATGTCATTATTTGTGAACAATATGTCTTCCAACTGGGATAAGTTTCCGGGTGATCCTTTAAATTCCAGCACCCAATCATTGGACGCCTTAATGGGACCCTTATTCGTATAGACCTCAACACGATAATTACGAACCAGTAAAAGGTCACGCACGAATCGTTCGAAGTTGTTTTTGCTGAGCACAACGTAGGGTACTTCAACATCCGATCCCGGAGGAGCCATGATTTTTACTACGTTTGTAGATTTGAACACACATTTGGCAACGAATTCGGCATCCGATCCATGGCAGCTGTAGTAGTCCGACCGATCAAAAAAACGCACCGTTGTGGTAGGTTTCTGGAAGTAGACAATAAGTAATGAAACATAATTATTTCTCTCTTGCCGTGCGGATCTATTTGCTTTTTGCTGAAGGAAGTGTTACTACTACGTAAAGCTACAACAAATTTAAACAGCACTTTTCAGTGGTCCACCTGTAAAATTTCTACCTTGTTCAACTCTTATTCCTCTTCGATCTTTGTTTGGACCCTACCCGCGGTAATCCTTCTTGGATATCGATTTGGAAAATTCCTCTTCGATCCTTCAGATTCTTATAGTAATGTGCTTGGAAGTCGATTTGGATAAAAATTTACTGCCACCTAAGCGCAAAATAAAGGGGCAAACTCTTGATCCTCCTTCTGATGAAATTAATTTGAGCAATCAATTTGAATTAGAATTATCCATCATCCAAGAAAAATTCTAGTAAACTTTCCCGGCTTAATGCCAAGAAGGAAAAGATTCCCCCTATTGTGATAACCACTTCCGATTTCCATGCTCTTCGCAATGTGAATATTTCCAGAATCGGGGTGACGTGGAGACCGGAAATCGTCGACCAACGCCATCTTAAACTCCAAGATGGCGGCTTTCGGTTGTAGGAAAAAAATGAAAACCTATCAAATACCCTTCAATATGGTTATTTCCGGATTCAGGGTGACGTCTTGAGACAGGAAATCAATGCCTGACGCCATCTTTAAACCCAAGATGGCGGCTTCCGGTTGTAGGAAAACTGGGAAATACTAGCAAATACCCTTCAATATGGGTATTTTCGGAATCGGGATAACGTATATAGACCGGATATCAATGTCAGACGCCATCTTGAAATCCATTATGGCTGCTTCCGGTTGCAGAAAAACTGGGAAATAATGCCAAATATCCTTCAATATGCGTATTTACGGAATCGGGGTGATGTCAAGAGACCAGAAATCAATGTCTGACGCCATTTTTAAATCCAATATGGCGGCTTCCGGACAAATATCCTTCAATATTCACGAAACGTCCATTATTTTATTCATGTGTTTCACTTATACATTTTTGCCAAAAGATCAGCCTTATACATTCCATAAGGCAAACCACATAGGTCCTATAAGAATGCATAAAAGGTATGTGTAACCGCTTATACATTTCATTTAACACATTAGCTTCATTAACTTTTTGCAAGGCGTCTGCTTATTAGTTGTCCAAGTCTACAGGCAAAAAAGTAGGTAGTGATGAAAACGTCGCTAGAACTATTCCACAACCGCCGTCAGTTTATGAGCAAAAGAAGGACGAACATTTTTTGCCTGTAGACTTGGAGACATACTTCAAGTCTCCGCGTACATCGTACGGGTTAGGCAAAAGATGTGCGTCTAACTTTAAAAACTGTCGCATTAATGGCCCTTCGCTCATTTTCAACTTCTATTCAATTTTCATACTGCCGTACTCTAACGGAACTATCCACCTACTCTCTTCTAAAGATCATTCTCTAGCTAATAAATTATCACACTAAAAAAGCTTCATGTTAGCATTTCCAACCAACTCTGAGTATTTCCCAGTTTTTCTATAACCGGAAGCCGCCATATTGGATTTCAAAATGGCGTCTGCCATTGATTTCCGGTCTTTATACGTCATCCCGATTCAAAACATACGAGTAAAGTGCGAACACTTCAGGAAGACTGGAGGAAATTTCCAAAACCTCACCCAGCGCCGTAAGTGCCAGTGATGGGGTCACGGAACTACAAATTGCTACATGCCAGCTAAATGCATGAATTGTGGTCAGGGCGTCACAATATCAGCTTCAATCGACCAAATCGATGCGACGAAGAGACTGCTGGCTTTCTTTTTCTGTTAAAGTCGAACAGCTTCGTAGCATTCTAGAACCTCAGTCGGCGTGCACAAACAAATGTTCAATCGCTTGTCTCTCTTTCTCCCGTCGCTCCATTGGTCTTCCTTTCAAGCTTCGTCGAAATGGATGAGCGAAAGAGCGCTCGACTTTGATAGTTTTCTCTTTCATGAAACACATCAACAGAGGTTTCATGACGTATATGACGGAAAATGAAATAACACATTTAAAGCATTTCTCACGTAAAAACACTTGAAGATTACACGTCATATTTCTAATTTATCTTCCATCCATATATTTATCTAAAAAAATGATCGAAAACGGGACATAACGCATTTTAAACAAATTGAAAGAGCGGCGATAGAGTGTTCGTGAAAGGGGATTGAAAGCCATAATGAAGTTCGTTTAACTAGAAAATCGACGTTATTTACATTGAAAGCGATGAGCAAAGCAACGACGAGAAGTTCCACAGCCAGCCTTTCCTTCCAAGCGTCCTTCTTTTTTATTTTCGTTTCTTGCTGATAGTCTAGCTAGGCGTTATAGAAATGAAGCGTCGAACACGTATGTATGAGAGAAACAAAACACGAGTTCATTTTAGAGCTTCGAAATTGTAGAGCCCTGATTGTGGTGATTCCTCTCACGCAAAGGACGACTGTTCTGTGAAGGAAGATCCTAAGAAATTCAAATGTTCAAATTGTGGTGAAAACCACAAATCCAATTTTTCATTTCATTTTCATTTTGCAGCGTTTGGTGAGGCAATGGGAGCGCAAGTCAATCCAAAGCCGAGGATAAAGGACGGGTAATGGCTGAATAGTCTATGCGGACCACTTGAACGCCATGGGAAAAGGAAGGGATTGAAGAGGCCGGTTATTGGGGGGTTTTGAAGAAATGACACATAGTGATGCTAAATGTAAAGAAACCGAAAATCCATCTCCCACTGATTCATCCTTTCACATATATACCAAATTGATATTTTAAAGCAATAATCAAAATAAACAGACAATACATGAAAAGGCTAGTTGCCAGTTGCCTCCTTAAGCGGACCCTCCGCATCCCAACTCTTCCGTTAATCCACCCAATGCTACTAGACTGTCTGAATTCTCCTATTTAAGTCCGCTTGATGATTATGACATCTCTAGTCCAATTTAATAAATAATTGAAATCTCTAATCTACCTACCATGCTTTATTAAGTACCTGCACTTGTGAATGTAATCCAAAATGTAACGTGTTTCAAGTTGTTTTTGACTTTGACCTATATTTAATATATATTAGTTCGTCCCAGGTGACACCTTCAACCGACTAAAATGCTTCAATCTGAAGCTAGTTTCCTATCCGACTCCCAAATTACACAGCCCTAATAAAAAAATACCATAAACGAACAATAACCCAAATAGTCGAACTTTTCCACAAATGGTTTGGATGATACCCCAAACACGTCGTTAAGGAAAATAACCATAACAAATTTATTAGGGAGGGTACATGCTTCAACCACGCTCACACGTTTCCACTATGTCGCACCACAAAAATACGTATGGTTATGTCACAATAGAAGCACGCCACAGTGGAAATCCCGAGCCATAGTTCAAACACTTATCTCAAATCAAAATGAAGCACATATAAGACTAGCCGCAATACCATGCACAAAAATGGCGTTCAACATTGTTCCCTGAGTAATACCTCAATGAAAACAACAACGAAAGCCTGTCACGCAAGTACACTGTACACAAACATCATCCTCTGATCGAATGAAACCTCAGACCATTCAAAACAAAACACCGAAATCGCTTTTTCGAATGATAGCTACAACCGGATGACGGTTGTTTTGAAATCAGATAATTTCCTCTCGAATACAGGATGAAACTTGTTATGAGAAGGGATAGAGCCTTCAGTTGAAATGCGTAATGCTCTCTGCAGAATGTCTGTCATACTAAATGGAAATGCATATGGTATTGGTTCAGCCCCATAACGCAAATCGTTCAAAACGATGATGTAAATAATTCTATCGAACGTCATTTGCTGATCTGAGCTGACAAACAAGGTGGAAGCATATGCATCGCTATCAGAGCTGTTACGAACATAGGTAAAGGATGAAAACCAATGTTTGACTAATTCGTGATGGAGGAGGTTGTCTCCACCACGAAAATTTTTTGTATGCATAATGGAATGGCTTATAATGGCTATTCAGTATGGAATTGTAGATTATCAAATTATAAATCTAATTAAAAGCACTTGCATGTCACACTATTCTTAAATGTTTGTCCTCTGAGTGCCGTATGTTTTATAGCTGATTTTCAAACGAAAATAATCCTGTATTTGGATGACAGTCATATGGATGTTCATCATCTGACGACGAATTCAACCATAAGAAAATCATCCGAAATTCGAATGCATATTGTTAAAGGGCTCGAGCAATGCAATAATCATTCGAAGTATTGCGGATGTTTTGGTTCAGTGTAGAAGGAGCACCGTTGGGCACCCTCTGAAATATTTCAATAGTACAACCAAAGATAAATACTAAGATGAAACTGTCGGAAGAAAAACTTTCTATTTTATTGTCCTCTTTCACGGTCCCTTTCATCCAATGAATACCCCCCGTATTCAAGGTAATTTTGTGGTTTTGCTGCCCCCTCGGTACAGATGAAATTTTGCGCTCATTTTCATCAAAACAAACACACCTAAATCAGAGATGTCCCATTTTTTAATTACTCGATTAACAACTTAGGGGCTGTCCATAAACTACGTAGACAGTTTAGGGGGGGGGGGGGGTTTGGCAACTATCCACGGCCCATACAAATTTATTTTTTGTATGGACAATTGTCTACGTAGGGTGAGGGGGGGGGGTCTATAATCCCAAAAAAAAACTGTCTACGTAGTTTATGAACAGCCCCTTATCGATTATTTTTTGTTCGCTGTACTGCCATTTTTCCACCAATGAGAGTGCAGCACATGTTTGAAACGATCGGTGAGGATCCTCTGGAGATGTTAATCCTTATATCAGCACGATATAACCGATTACAAATATTTTACTTTTCGGTTCGTTAATCGATTAATCAATTATTCGTAAGAAAATCGGCCATCACTAGATGCATGTGAAACGTCATTTCAAATATAAGGACCGTACATAAATAATGATACAATTTGAAAGGGACCGGTGCTAATCACAAATTACGTCCCCACGGTAACTGAAATAAACACGAGTGT